ATTTTGATCCAATAACAATTTTCTTTATCATTTATGAATATAAAAAATATAAACATGAATATTGAAAATACACCATAGTTATTTGGCAAATTTTCACAATATTGTTGAACATAGTACAATCTAAAGTCATGGTCTTGATAGCGGAGGTGCATAAAGACGGCGGCTCCATGCACGTACAACAAATGCCTCGTTTGCTAAGTTTTCCGTATTGTACAGCGCTGTCCGTCACTCTTTTTTGTATCGTCATAAGCAAAAGTACACATGATCCCAATTTTCGCTCCAATTTCGTGGCAATTTGAAAAAACAAAAAAAGTAGATACTGCTATTTGGCGGCACATGAACCATGTCGCGCGCTGTAGTTTAAAAGCTCAGTGGATAAACTATGTCATATCTGAATTCCGCCATTTTTATGCATCATTGCCATTGGATTCACATTTTCCTGGTCTCAGTCTTGACTCGATCTCGGACCCCCCCCCCCCCCAGGTCTTGGTCGACTCGATTTGCTTTGGTCTTGAAAATCGGTCTCGCTTTAGGTGGTCTCGAACACAACACTGATACTCATATTACAGAGAAAGCGTAAAGATTCATATGCCACTGATTTCTGTTTTGGATCACCTACAGATGAAACATTATGGAGTCTTAAAGGAGGCCTGGGTAAGGCAACAATGTCATAAATATGCCAACTTTGATTAATTATTTCTCAATAATACTTTAAGACAATGTCAAATATATGTCAACAATCCTTCCTCCAAAGGACCACTCTATGGATATAATCTAGTGAAAATCATATTTTGTTGTCCTGGTTTTTTACTGATACTAACCATCCAGATAACAAACTGGTTGACGTAATCAGGATCACTCAGCTGGTTGACCAGTGGAAGGAGAACGCCTTGCGCCAGAATCTCCTGGAACATGGACACAATCACATTACATCACCATCAGAATCTCCTGTAACATGGACACAATCACATCACCATCAGAATCTCCTGTAACATGGACACAATCACATTACATCACCATCGGAATCTCCTGGAACATGGACACAATCACATTACATCACCATCAGAATCTCCTGGAACATGGACACAATCACATTACATCACCATCAGAATCTCCTGTAACCTGGACACAATCACATTACATCACCATCATCAGAATCTCCTGGAACATGGACACAATCACATTACATCCCCATCAGAATCTCCTGTAACATGGACACAATCACATCACCATCAGAATCTCCTGTAACATGAACCCAATCACATTACATCACCATCAGAATCTCCTGTAACATGGAAACAATCACATACATCACCATCAGAATCTCCTGTAACATGGACACAATCACATTACATCAACCATCAGTACTGTATGGGGCCCATAAACAAACAAGAAACCGCACACCCAGGGGCAGCGTTTCTGGTTGGGCGGAGACTAACGCGGGGAGACTTAAAACCGTTCTACCAACAAGTCTACTGTGGCACTAGGGCCGATAAAAACTCGAGACCACTTTTATTCTACCCACAGAAACGCATGAAAGGCCCTCGCTCGCCCTCCCTTCAGCAAATCAGACCTGACTCCATCTTCCTGCTTACAAACGAAAAGCTCAAAACAGGAAGTACCAGTGAAGCGCTCAATACGGAAGTGAGGCTACAAGACTGTTCTGCTAGTATAGACCGGGATATGTTCCGGAATTCATCCGAAGGAGTTTACCAAATCAGTACCGGACTTCATCAATAAGTGCATTGACATTGTCCCCACAGTGACTATACGAACGTATCCAAACCAAAAACAATGGATTACTATATAATAATACTATAAGCCATTTAGCAGACGCTTTTATCCAAAGCGACTTAGTCAAGTGTGCCTTTTTTAACCCTGGAATACCAGGGCGTGTTCTTAGAGCATGCGCAGACCAGCTGGCAAGTGTCTTCAGGGACATTTTCAATCTCTCCTTGTCCCAGTCGGTAATCCCAACATGTTTCAAGCTGATCACCATCATCCCTGTTCCCAAGAAGTCCAAGGTAACCTGCCTAAATGACCATCGCCCTGTAGCTCTCACCTCTGTATTTATGAAATGCTTTGAAAGGCTGCTTGTGGCTCACATTAATACAATCATCCTAGACACCCCGGATCCACTCCAATTTGCATACCGCCTCAGCAGATCAACAGATGACGCAATCTCTATTGCACTCCACACTGCCCTCTCCCACCTGGACAAGAGGAACACCAATGTGATGTTGTTGTTTTATTGAATCAGTTCAGCGTTCAACACCATAGCGCCCT